CCCGGCGCAGAGGTGGTGTATCCCTGCGCGCACATCGACACAAGCTAAGGGGGTTGGGGTTGGGGGGGCGGTGGGCTTGTTTGTTTGTGGCTAGCACCTGGCACGACCACGCGCGCAAGACCGTGGCGCTCACAGACGGCGCGAAGAGAAAGATGAGCACGAAACCCGCCGGCGTGAGGTCGAGGACGCCGAGCGCCACCTCTGCTGGCCATGAAAAGACCGCCGCATCTGCGGTTTCGGCCAGCGCCGTCGGTGGTTCCGCAGCTGAAGACGATGGTGGCTCCTGCGAGCTGTGCGTCGCCACCGAGAACGTTGCTTGTCGCGCCGTCGACCTCGGAGCCGCTCTCGCAGCCAGCCCCTCGCCGAGCACGCCGCCAGCGAGCACAGAGCCGCAAGACAATGCCAGCAAAGAGGAGCAGTGCGATGACGCCGATGGGAGAGATCGCGACGGCGACGAGCCGGGACGTGTGCGCCAGGCACTGCACCGGCAGCACGATGCCCGACCAGTCGATGAAGACGGCTTCGGCCAGCGCCTCCGTCCAGCCCGTGTACCGTTCCGGCAGCCGCGCCGAGTAGGTGGTGGAGAGGACGAGGCAGACCTGGTAGAAGCCAAACAAGATCTTGAACTTGGGGATGAGGCCGATTTTGTAAATCGCGTCACCGGTGCGGTCGGCGATGCGCAAGGGAAGTCCGATGAAGCGCTCCTTCCTCCACTCGGTTTGCCCGCGCTGAACTGAGTACGCCAACGCCACGAGGCCAAACGCGACGCAGAGGCCGAGGGCGATGCCCGCCATGTGCCCCGCCGCCGTGCCGACAGCGACGCACTTGTTGCAGGCGGCGCCGTCGGCGTCCAGGTAGTGGTTCGGCTCGCGGCAGAGCTGGCACTCGGGGCCGGCGAAGGCGTCTGCGCAGTAGTCCAAGCCGGCCTCCTGCGCCCTCCGACCGCTAGCCTCTCCCGGATCAACATTGCCGACACACCGCGCCTGGCCCGCCTGGCCATCCCCTCCAAAGGCGCGGCACTCTGTGAGCTCGGCGCTGGAGAAGCTGGCGCGCCAGAAGCCGGGCGGGATGCCGAGGGTCTCGAGGGTCGTGCCGACCGGGCACGCGGCGTCCGATGGGCATGGCTTGCAGTAGTCGGTCGGGGAGGAGAAGATGTCGGCCGGGTCGGCGCTCTGGAGCAGGTAGAAGTCCTTCTGGCAGACGGAGCAGATGACGGCGCCGCGCTCACTGCTGAGGGGGTAGGGGCAACGGACGCACTGGCCCTGGCCGGGGTTGGCGGCGTAAGTGCCTGCGGCACACTCGCTGCAGGCGCTGCTGCCGACGCCAGAGGT